CCCCCCCCCGCGGGGGGGGGGGGGCGGCCGGAGGCTTTTTCGCCTGGGGCGGCGAAAAAGCCAGAGCCGGCCCTGCCTATTACATAATTTTCTGTTAAACGTGAACATCAAAGCTTCAGTCAGGAACACCTGTTACGTACAATAAGCAGAATTAGAGAATAGCTCCAACTGCTATGGTGTTAGCACCTATCTTAAAAGTTTTCTACGCACCCACTATCATAGGATCTGATCCTATAACACCACAATTCTGATTCTTTAGGAGCTGATTCAAAAGCCTTCTAAAATCAGTGGAAAATCTCCCATGGACGGACTTCAGTGGGCTTTGGATCAGCCCCTATAAGAGCTCAGGGCTAGATTTTCAAAAGTACTCAGCAACCAGCCGCTCCCACTGAGTACACAAACTGAGCTCTGAAATCTGGCTCTCAATAGATTACCACAATTGCAGTATTTCACTGTAAAGCATCTGAAGCACTAGAATTTTTTTTTTTTTTTAAAGTGATGGATCCATGAGAAGATAAGAAAGTTATAGCACATGCAAATGTGACACTTACATTCCTGGTTTCAACTATGTTTTCCTTTTTCAAATTATTTCTGCATAACAATTCTTTGCACTAAAAATTCTGTATTTACAAAAAATAACAACCAAATCAGTCACATGCCACTGAGGAAGTTATGCAGATGTACACATGGAGGAGAACATTCCTCAATTTCTTTTAAAATCTGAACAAAAAGGAACACGAGCCCTAAAAAGAGTATAACAAAGACAGGGATCAAACAAGAAATCAGCTGATCCAATAAAGCTATGAAGCTCTAGCTGGCATTTCATGCTGATGCTGGTTAGCCAAATGTTCACAGGGGTAAAACACCATATAGATTTGTATGGGAAAACAACAAAAGGTATACATGAACAAACACTGATTTGTCAGGAAGTCAAATAAATCCATCTACAGTGAATGACAGGCAGCACTCCAAATGAAATAAGGTACATTTGCAAAAAAAATGGAGAAAACCTCATGCTGTATCAAACATCACAAGTAGCTGGCAATCCCGGTCTTCAATATAACAATTTTAATTCTTCTCCTCTGAATTCAACCACTGAATTGAGTGTAGAAGAGAACCCTCCTCTTCACAGCTATGCCCTCTGCCCTTCCCAGGACTGCACATAGCACTTTTTTGTTTTTGCTGAGTCAGACACAAATATAACCAAAGCACATCTGTCATCTTTAGGAAAAAGCAAATCCCAGCTACTCGATGACAGCTTGAACCTGCAGCCATGAGAGTTGCGAGTGATCAGCACTTTGCAGAATTAAGCCCTTAAATTCTGCCTCAGGAACAGATACTGTTTCTACTGTATCCAGCAGATTACACTACCCACACAGAGAAGGAGGACTCCACCCACTTCAATAATTCTACAGAAGCCTTATGTCACCTAAAAAGTTTTCCAGTTTCAACAGATGGACTCTACCTGCTAGACGATTAAATACATTCTTGAGAAGGAAATAAAAGTTATTAAATCCACTGGGCCAGATTTACTTCAAGAGTCCAACTCATGCAAGCATCTGGATGTGAGGCCCCTAGCATAGCAGCAGAAAGACCACTGGGGTGGGGAGCAGTGACACAAGCCACCCACAACTGCTACCTAGCGTCTGGGAGCCAGCTCAGCCCTATAAACCCACCCCACCCTCCAGCTGGAATGAATTCCTATTCTGGCATAGTGGTCCCATGAGTGCAGAGGGATACACATGGCCACTCTTCTCTTCATTGCAGGCATTCATCTGGCCCACCATGTGCAGTGACATCAGGGAGGGTATTATTCTTCATCCTAGCCAAGGGACCAAGCTGAAGTCCCTTTTGTACCTTTAAAGTCTTTGGCCTCTGCAGCAGGCAAACATAACCCCCACGCTTTCCCCAAACCGCCCCCATGATGGGAGGGATCGCCACTGCAGAATGAACCAGCAGGTTCTGAACTCAGATCTTCAAATCCTTGGAAGGGAAGGGAGTTGGAAGGAGGGATCACCAGGAGGCCAGAACCATCTTCACAGAGCTCTCAACATGCAGCTCTCAGATAACATGGCTCCACTAGAGGGGATCCTCAACGGCCATGTACCCCTAGTCTAAGGGCTCCCATGAAAGAGGTTTCTGGAAAGCAAAAGGGACCTTCAGCTGTATTACATTTTTCATTTTGGCTTTCCCAAAGATCATGGGGTTGGAGTGATGCGTGTATTATTAAACACATTACAGACCTTGACTTTCCTTTCCCTGCAGTCCCCATCCCCAGAGTGAGCTCTCTACAAGTCAGGAAGGAGCCGATGATGCCAAAATAGTACATGATTCCCCTTCCGCTGAGCAGGGGGTAGATCACATCACAGAGGGAGAATAATCTACAATTGCTGACAAAGCAGTCATTGTTAAAACATCAACAACATTGCTTCAAGTTAGCCTACTCAACCTTCTGCCGATAGAGATGAGAATTAATTTTATCCCTCCCTGCCTCTTTTTCCTCCTAAGCAGTGTGGGTGATTTCTTTATGTAAAATATATACACCTCTACCCCGATATAACGCAGTCCTTGGGAGCCAAAAAATCTTACCGCGTTATATCGAACTTGCTTTGGCCTCGAGCATCTCCGTTATTAATAGTCAGCAAATAACCCCGCCCCCTATCCGACCGCCACCTACTTCCCGCCCTGACTGACCCCTCAGAAGCCCTGACCCATCCAACCCCCCCGTCCTTAATCACTCCCAGGACTCCCACGCTGAACCATGCGCCGCACCGGGACGGGCGCTAGGACCCGGGGAGCCGGCGCACAGAAGCGCTCACACCTGCTGGGGCGAGCCCCGCGCAGCCCAGCGGCCGCTGCCCTGTCCATGGAGCGCGCCCAGCCCTGCACGGCGGCTGAGCCCGCGAGGGGGAGCAGGGCGGGCAGCCTCACCAGAGGAGCCCCTGTACGCCTGGTCCCCGCCCCGTGCCCAGGCAGTGCCGGGGGAGGGTGAGCCATCGGCAGGCGGCTCCTGCCGTGCGTGCCCGCACTCAGCCCGTCTCTCCTCTTCCGCAGAGCCCCGCGCAGCCCATCTCCGGTGAGGACGCTGCGGCCAGCTGTCCACCAGGGCACATGGAGCCGCTGACTGCGGGCAGGTAGTGTGGCGTGCTATGGACCCGGAGAGCCCATCCAGCGTTGCTGCGGGCAGGGCACAGCCTGCTAACCGGGCCCGCTGTGTGCCGAGCCCTCCAGCGCCGGGACAGGGGCACCTGCACGGCACCGTCTAGGACAGGCACCTCTCCCTGCCCTGGATCCGCAACTTCCCCAACTTCTCAGTGCCGGCTGGAGCCCGTCTGACGTTCCCCTGCACTGCAGCTCCCCTCCTCGGGCTGTGGCTCCCCCCTGCTCCCTGTCCCCTGACCGCCCCCCAAGAGCCTCTGCCCCTTATCCAACCCCTCGGCCCTGGCCTGGCACCCTTAACACGCCACTCAGAGCGCTGTTTTACTGCGTTATATCCGAATTTGTGTTATATCGGGTTGTGTTATATCGGGGTAGAGGTGTACTTTATGAGATTTATTTATATCTCTGCTCAAGGCTCAACATCTTAAAACGAGCATCTGAATTTTGGGTTGCTTATCTGGGTCACTGACCACCACCTGAGGTTTCCTCACGCACTACCTATAAGCCGGATTCCCAATGGGAATACCGAAAGGGTGGCACTGAATACTGCCCACTATGAATTTCCCTGCCTTTGATGGAGAGGATTTGCCATTCCTGATCCATTCTCATACTGCACTTAACATTGAAAAATAACGTCCATGACGATACCAAGCAAATCTGTGAGAGGTTTGAACCAGGTGAAATATTTGTTTGTGTGCATCTATTATGCTTTACAAAGCCCCCAATCTCCCCTGGAAGGGAGTGTCAAAGGAGCCCAAGGTCGAAGTTCAAGGGGATTTAGATGCATAACTTCAGGCTCTTTCCAAAAACCCAGGCTGTGCCTAGAATTAGCCCCTGCAGAGAACCAGCTTCTGACAGTCTGTAAAACTCCACTGGAATAGAGCATACAGAAACCACTACATTGGCCACCAGCTCACAAAGTGAACATATTCTTCTAATAGATCCCTTACCTAAGGCATCAATTCATATTAGTATATTCATTACTAGTTTTTACTTTAGGTGCTGTATATTTCAGCACCACATGCACGCAACATATAAAAAGTTAAAACGATTCTGGAAGCAAACAAATAAAAAGAAACAACGAGGAGTCCGGTGCCTGAAGAAGTGGGGTTTTTACCCACGAAAGCTTATGCCCAAATAAATCTGTTAGTCTTTAAGACTCCTTGTTGTTTTTGTGGATACAGACTAACACGGCTACCCCCTGATAAATAAAAAGAAAGAAATGGGGGCAGGGGAAGTGGAAAAGAAAAAGAAATTAGGTTTCACAACCACCACCATATACTTCTAAATTCCAGCACCTACCAAGCTTGGCATAAAGGTGACTCAGGATCCGGGCTGGCTGCACTCGGATTGGATAGATGTCTGTAATGCTCTGAACACTGATTTCATGGTGTCTCAAGATTTCCTTAATTTCATTTGATTCTGCCAAGACAGTTACTGTAAAACAGAAAAGAATAGCTGAATTATTTTAACCAGACTCATTCTCCTTTACTCTGACATCACCCATCATTGCTATTTACCCATCATGTGGGTGTCTAAAAATGCTAAAGGCTGTATTCTTTCTTGATTTGCCAACCCCAGTTATACCACTGGAGGTGCAAGAATGTGCAGAACAGCATTTGGCATTTCATTTCCCCAGATTTCTCAGCTTCCCTCCTCCCCACAAGATGTCGCTGTAAGACACTGTAGTAAGCCAATTTATCTGTGGCTAGGTCTACACTACAGCGGGGTTCCGACCTAAGATACGCAACTTCAGCTACGTGAATACCGTAGCTGAAGTTGCGTATTTTAGGTCGGCTTACCTGGCGGTGAGGACGGGGGAAAGCCGACCGCTGCCGCGCTGCCGCCGACTCCGCTGCCGCCTCTTGTCGAGGTGGATTTCCAGAGTCGACGGCAGAGCGATCAGGGATCGATTTTACCGCGTCCTCACGAGACGCGGTAAGTCGATCCCCGATAAACCGATTGCTACCCGCCGGATCGGCGGGTAGTGAAGACGTAGCCTGTGTCAGTGAGATACGTATGCTATCAACGCTATTTATTATTTCTATAGCAGCAGCATGCAGGCGCCCTATCAGGATCAGAGCACTGTTGTGATAGGTGCTGTACAAATACAGAGGAAGACCCTACCCCAAGGAATTTACAATCTAAGGCCCTGATCTTGCAGAATGCTCTGTGTGGGGTTTTGCAAATGTGGGTCAGTTTGCTGGGTCGGGATCTAACAATCTAGTACAGACTTGCTAGTTAATACTATTGCATTCATGAATACTGACAAAAAGTGAATTTTAAATTTGCAACCATGAATATCTGTACTGGAAGTGAACACTATAAAGTTTCCTCTAAAGGAACAGAAACAGTCCCAGAAGGAGACACCGTGACTGGTAAGAGAACACTCCTCCCCTAAGGTGCCAGTTTGGATGTGCACGCAGGATCTGTGCAACAATCCCACAGCTAGTTCTGGGGGACAGCTAGAGCTGTAAACCACAGGCTCTGTGGTATTTGCAGAGATAAACTGGACAGATGGCAGCTAGGGTCACAAGCGGCAGGGAGGAAGGAGGGATGAAGGCTGCTCCTGACAATCCAGGCTCCTGACTGCTTCTCAAGGGCTGCACAGATGGGCAGTGGAAGAGCCTTTATCCCTTGATCAGCTTCACACTGCTGCCAGGTATCTGCTACATCCCCCTAATCTCACCTTTCTGGCTGCTACTCCCACTGAGGAAAGGAGCAGGTTCCTGGCAGTGGTACTGGGGACGCTCAGGGGATAAAGTCTCTGTCCCTGCCTCTCTTGGACATACTTAAGTAGTGGCTGTAAGCCTGGCCTGTCAGCAGCAGCAGCCTGCCTGTCTGCCTGGTACTAGCTAGTTCATCCACAACCTCCAATAAGTGACTGGGTTTGGGGATTCCCGCATTAGGAAGCCATTAGGATGGTCTTGGGCTCTCCTTCTGCTCCCACCACACTTGGTTCCTTAGGGGAAGCCCAGGGAGCTTCACATATGTCACAGCAACTGGCACGCTGTCAGATCTGCCCTGTCATCATCCTGGAGCATGCCCAGACCTGCCTTTTCCCCGGGAAGTGGATGCGGGGCTGGGAATCTGGCAAATTCAATCTTAAACTGCTAATGAAAGAGCTTTAAAAACAGTAATAAATTGCAGTAAGCGCCTCCTCATGAAAAAAGCAGACATGATAAAAAACCCCACACCCCCAGTTTCTCTGTCTCAGATATCATCACCGGGGTATCCACATGCCATGCACTAATTAAGAAACATTGAGCAAGCCCAGCAGTGTATCACTGCATAGTGACCTGCCCCTTCCCCCTCATTTCACTAGTCGGAGCTTTTTTATTTATTTTTAATTCTGCCTTTCTTTCTTGAGAGGGTAGAACCACCCGTTAGCCCATCTTTTCACCAGAATGTAACAAACATGAAATCACTCACCTTGCACCACAACATCAGGTTTAAAAGCAGTTGAAAATCTCCTATGTAAGGGATCAATTTCGCCAGTAACTAGAAACCCCTGGGATAAAACAGAAAAAGAAAGAACCCAAGTAAGCTGCCTTTAACATCCAGTCCAGTTATAGGGGATCCTCGTGATAATCGTCAAACTTCTACAAATGTAACATAAAACATCTCTGTCCCCTATTTACTCTGCAGTATTTTCAGTAAAAACTTTAGTTCTAATTTAAAAAAAAAAAACCTGCAGGAAAGGTGTTTATTGTCAGGCCCGAAGTCAATCTGTGTTCCCACCTTTCACATGATAGAGCGAGAGCACCTGCACATTATTTGGTTGCTCCTGTCATTTTTTGACACTGGAAAGTTAACCCTTTACTGAGTCTTTATTGGGCTCAGTCAAGGACTAATACGGGGTGAATCTCAGAAGACTGGATGTTCAGTACAGTTAGATAAGCACTTGAAATGCCTACGTAAAGCTATGGAAGGGTCTCCCCTGCCTCACGCACTCCAGAGTAGTCTCTAGCGCCTTCCTTGTGACCAACCCCTTTCCTATGATCCCTCTCAAGCTCTTGACTTTCCTCATATCTCTAAGACTGGTGGCAGAGCCCAGCAACAGATGTGGCCAGTCCGCTGCTTGGTCCTGCTGCCTGGCCCTTTCCAGTTTCACACCAGTTTGGGAGCCTGCCCATTAGTCTGAGCCCAGAATGCCTTGCAATGTTCTCTGCCAAGGAAAACCAAGCGTGTACAATGTGTGTAGTTCACAAGAGACATGCATACATGGAAACTAAACAATGGTTTAACTGACACACTCTTTGTATCCACAGGAGAAACCCAGATAACAAATCTCTTGCTTCACAAGTTGAAAATTTCCTTACAATGATGACATTTCATGTAGCATATAAAAACAAGATATGCTTGGGTTTTCAAAGATACCTTTTTGCTTCACTCTATGAAAATGTAAGGTAAGAGATGGACTGAAATGAAGTCAGCTGTAGGTCAAAGGGAACAAACACTTTCTAACTAATTTAAGTTGGATAGAGAAACTGACAGAAACACCACTTCTGCCAACTCACAGATATGATTCTGCCATGAAATATACTGCATCCAGTTGACACTGAATGAGAGCAGGCTGGACTGGGCAGTACTCAGAGTTCAGTGCATCTCAAGATGAACTGAAAGATTAACTCGCTGGTTTTACAGATAAATTACCTCTGCTAATAGGGAACTGAGGATGTATAAAGACTGGCCCCACAGATGAGGCAACTTTCCACCTGGGAGACGATCCACTGAGTGAGGATTTTCATACTCCTCATCCACCTGCCAACAAACATAAGCAAGAGATAAGCCCTACCTGGTTATAAGAGATATCGCAGACCATATGTTTCAAAATACTTTGTGCTGTTAAGGATCTGCACCTTTCAGATTTTTAACTTGCCATCATTAGTTACGATGTATTGGTCCCTCCCACCCTGCTTCCACCTCCTAGATTGCACGCTCTTTCAGATTGCACGCCGACCTTTGAACAGTGTCTAACCCAGCAGAGCCCCCATACTGACCAGGACTTTTGGACATGAATATAATATAATCATTTACACTTCCATGTTTTATTCTTCTCACTCCTATTGCTTCCTTTCCCCCCGATGGCTCTGAATCGATTTTGGGTCTCCTTTCTGATCCCCTGCCAGGTAACCCTTGTATACTACTGATGCAGGCCCACCTTAGCTTCCTGGAATGAAAGCTGCACATGCACCCTCAAAGTACACACTATCCTACCATTACTGTGTTTGGAAAGATGCTTCACAAGGAAAGAAATGGGGAAGTCTGTTGTTAAAAAAAGGCCATTAATTTATTTGCAGAGCAATATAATGGTGACTTGATGAGAGAGAAAGAAAGAGAAGGGAGGGGGAAATACTAGAGAATTTTATTATACGAGAGGCTTTGTAAGATGTGATCTGACACAAAAGAGGTTAGGCAAAGCCCACCCTACCGACTTCTTGAAATCCCTACCAGATTTACACTGTTTCCAGCTGAAAGCCACAAGAGAGGATCAGTGCTGTGCTTGCACATAACAGGCAGGGAGGTACATCTATACTCTTATTTAGCTTCAGATTTGTAAAGAAGACTGGAGATGTCAACACTTCATCTTTAAATATCCTGGTCTGCACTGGATTTAATGTCCTTAGTCAATGAGGATTGGGAAGTTTTGGAATAGGAGGGAGAGGCTGGCCTAGCAGGAAGGAATTTGATAGGTTAGTAGCTCGAACTGGCAAAGGGCTCAGGCTGGCTGGGTTTGTTGATCAAGAAATGGATCAGGTGGATCCCTAACTGCAAATGTAAAAAAATCTGATTTATCTGGAATTTATCTCAGACATTCAGGGTTTTGAAAAAACACACTGATGATAAACACAATATAAGAGGCAGGGCAGAGTTACTTTATTTCTTTGCAGGGGATCTGTTCTCATTTCAAGGTAGACAAATTTGTTACATTTATCCCCTTGCAATGGCAAAAAAAGAAAAAAGAAAAAAAGAAACTAAAAACAACAATGTTGCAAAACAATTGTCCTTGTTTTTTTCTTTTGACAAATTTCTAATCTGGAATTTTTTTGACTTTAGCTTTAATATGTTCACATGCACTCAGATAAAAATGGACTCCATCATATTTTTGTGCCTCTTTCATAACCCTCATATCAGACACCTAGCCATCTGGAAACATAAAAATTTACCAGAGTCTTATCAATGGGAGCTGTGAGGTCTTTTTTAATTTAAAAAGTTAAAGCCACTGCACAATCATTTTAGTTAAGTATAGGAAGTGACAAAGGCATTTCTCATACTGCAAACCTATATTTAACTACAGGAAATGATCATGCTGATACTTATTTTGATATCTGCACTTTGAAAGCTACAAGAGGTGCTGCATTGTCACAATACCTTGTCTGGAGGGACAGCATACAACTCTGGCATCAGAAGAATTCCATTCTTTTCTCTAATAATTATTCCCTCCAGGGCCTCTCTGTACTCTTGAACCTGGGGAGAAAAAAAAGGGGGGGAGGTGGTAGAGAAAGCTCATATCGCCTTAAAAAGAGAGGAGAGAAGCTAATGTTGTACAGCATGAAAAGAACAATGCTGAAATCTTAGAACTAGCTAATAAATCCGCTATAAATAATTCTAGGCCTGACTCAAGACAGTACAGCAGTGAAGAGATTATAACGTGCTGCCAAACGGAAGACCTGGATTCAAATTCTAGACTTAGTTTCTGGATCGGTGAGCAAAAAATCCTTATTTTAAAAATAATAATAGTTCAGTGATAGCATAAATTCTCAATCAGGGGAGGGGGGAGAAATCACCTCCAAGAAAGTCACGACTTTGCTCCTTTTCTTTACAGCTTATATGGGAACAGAGGTCCTCAAACCTTTTCTCTGCTGTAACTAGGGTGACTAGATGTCCTGTTTTTAAAGGGACAGTCCCATTTTATGGGACTTTTTCTTATATAGGCGCCTATTACCCGCCGCCCCCGTCCTGTTTTCTCACAGTTGCTATCTGGTAACTCTTGCTGTAACATGGTTCACAATATGGAAAAGCTTGTGGACCGCTAAGGAAGAAATTGTATTTTTAGATTCCCTTTCAATAGGCCAATACAATTTGTCATTCTAAAAAGCATGCCGTGACCTCTTGTGTACAAAGAATAACCATGGTTACTTGTTTTAAACGTGCAGCTGGAATGACAAAATGGTTAGACACTTGTTTCTGACCCATCTCTCTCCTGTGTGCCCAAAGCATTCATTTGATTCATTCTCCTCCATTCTTCATTTAGATTCAGGGAATCTATTTTGCCTTTCAGACATCTTCCAGTCTCAGCTGTATCAGGTTTTTCAAGATTTTATGATCCAAAATGCATTTGATTTGAGATTTTATTCACTAGTTTTGTTGAACTTCCCATTTTAAATTAATGATGTGTCCCCATTAAGTTGTGGGGAAGAGAGGGAAAAAAGGAGCTTTTTCATTGGTTTATTGACTGGTTTTTACTTTCAAAAATAAGAAAAACAAAAGAAGTATACATTGTACAGCTTTTGACTTTCTCAGAATCCTTTGGCGAGATTCATAACTGGAATCTGAATCGGAGTAGAACCCATCTAAAATTCTACAATTCCTGGGGGATAAAAAGACTATAAAAAGAAAATAAAAACACAAGTAAAAAATATCTTTGAAAACAGGGGAAAGCTTTCTTTAGAGATATTCAAATGACTAGGGCTCTGGTAACACAGGTATTGCCATGCTGGATAAGGCCAGTGATCCATTACTCTAGTGTCTTCCTGCCAAGATCGGACAACATCAGAAGACACTACAAGAAACCCCGTAACGGATAATTACACAATAACCTGCTTGCAGGGGAAGTTGCTTCTTGACCACAAGAAGTTAGTGGTTGGCTTATGTCCTGAAGCATAAGGGTAAGTGGCTATTCTCTTGGTATTCAAATGTGTCTAGTCCTACTTTGAATCCTATTAAGCTTTTAGCCTCAGTGATATCTTGCAGCAATAAATTCCACAGGTTAATTTTGCATTTCCTCTCAAGAAGCTGTGCTGGTGTTTTTCTATTGTACTATAGCCATCTAGGTGTTTCATAATTCTTTCTCTAGCTATTCTTTCACTCCATTTACGTACAAGGTACTGAAATGAGGCTTGCTGGTCTGTGGCTCCCAGCATCACCCCAGTGCCCTTTTTTAATAAGAGTACAACATTTGGCCCCCTTTCAGCCACCTGTACACTATGTGATTTTAATCATACTTGTGTTAGTTCCTCAGCCTCTTAATTCTTGAGTTTCTTCAAAACTCTTGAATTGATACAATCTGGTCTGGGTGACTTGTTGCTATATAATTTAACAATTTCCTGTAGCACCTCCTTGAAATGATGATCATTAAAAGGCTGGCAACTTGGCACTCCTGGAGAAGGAGTGCTTGAATCAACAATGAAAGATAATTAAACTACTCATTCCATCAGCAGAAGAGAAGATCTTCACAGGGGCCAATCCTAAGGCACAGAGGCCTGTAGACACAATAGATCGGGTTTGCAGATGCCAAGCACAGCACTGGGGAAAAAAGGTCAGGCTGCTGGGAGCTCACTCTGACAGGGAAGGGGTATCAGATGTGGATGGTGAATCCACGCTATGCAGATCCACTTGACATTGCCCCTGGAAAATATCTCCAGGGGTTTTTGTGACTGTAAGCAAGCCGCAGAATGGCTCCATTGCTGCTTCACTGCCCATGGTGGGGGGAGAGGATTCCTTCCTCTGGCTTCCCACAGAACCTCCCATGCACAGTCCATCTCGTCAGGCACTATGGAAGGAATTTCCCTAAAACAGCCAACACTGGGATCTAGTGGGGAAAGTAGTCCAGGGGGATTTACTCAGAAACAAGGAAAAATAACGGACAGTCCAAACAAGCACAGTAACAGCCATACTGCTTACTGCTTTTCCATTCCAGCCTAACTCAAGCAGTTTGCTCCTTCCTTACCTGAATTTTGTCCCCATTAAACACTCCATCAATTAGGAAGTACGTCCAGAATACTGGCCACTCACATTCTATATTCTCAAACAGTTTGAGCTCAGCAGGATCATAGTGTAACCTGTTTGGATCCTAAAAATCAAATCATATTCATTTAATATTCTGTACATGATATGAACAGACATGTGTCACACCTAAACCCTCTAAAACCAAAGGAAATACAGGATAAAGCCACACACCTACATTTATCACCTTTTCTTCTCACATATATGTACCCACACATACTCAACCAAACCCCTATGCAATCCCAGAAACCTAGATCTTATCAAGATCACCTTTGCTCTGCCCACTATTTGATGACTGTGTGCATGTGGAATTAATCTTTATTCCCTGTTGGTTGTGATTTTGAGTGTGCTATTATCTCCCCTTAGGAACCATAACCAGTTATAAAAAAATATGTTTGGTTTTGATATTAGAATGGCAAATTATGTTTTCCTGTTGTTAATAATTGTTTTTCTATCATCTAATCTCCTTTGGCCAGGGTTCATTATCAGTGTGGATGTGTTGATCTTTGGATTGTATAACACTGTGTACTCTTCCTGACGATGCAGAATCTTAGTTATGATACAGGCTATCACTTTATGTAGCACAAAATAAACAAAACAGGCATGAAGTTTTGATAAATGTGGGTTAAAAAAAAATCTTTAAAATGACTACTGAAAATCTTCAGAAGTAGGACCTCTCTTGGTGTTTTATATCCATCTCGAAGGAAGCGAGAGCAGCCATAACGCCCCTGTGGGGAAAAAATAACATTCCTGAAAAAGCTGACATTGCATAATAGAAGTTCTTTTTTATTTTATATTACTTCTGGGGAGAGAAGAGCTACCTCTTCCTTCTACTCACACCCACCGGGTCCTGCAATCTTTCAGCTAACTGGCAGGAGAAGACGACTCAATTTATTTCCTCCTCTCCCCGCAAGCAAACAGACCAAGAAAAAAAAAAAAGAGAACTCTTACTTGCAGTTTGGTGAGGATTTCACTTTTGGTTGCATTAACAACGTTCACATCTTCCACTGCAAAAGCTGGGTAAGAAATAATGGACAAGAGTCCAGCATCAATCTCCTTTGACGTGGATGCCCTTGGCAACATGGAGTATAGAATAGACTGAGCAAAATACAGAGAACAAAATATGTCAAACAATCAGCCTCATTCAAGGGATTATGTCAGATGCAAAAAGAGCCCATAATCAGTGTTCAAAACAGCTGGGAACTTATTGAATGAGAACTATTTAAACGGGAATGGTCAAAGTTACTCATTGGTGGCAGGTAACCTACTCTACATAGGATACACAGTGTATTGTGTGAAATTGTATGCTAAAGTTCTGGTTTCGCTTAATCAACATTTTCTACAAGCAGGGTGCTTGTCACTGGCTCGTTTGTGCTCCCTTATAGCAAAGAAACCTTGAAGGCTGCTCTTTACCTGGCAATGTTCAACTTCATCAGGAAGGACGTGAATCACAGATTTGCACCCCCCATGGGCTCCAAAAAGGTCTAGTTCATCAATTGCTTCCAGGGCAGCCTTCAGAAACACAGACACATGTCAATCCGGATTTGTGCACTTCCCGCCTGATCCAATGCCCATTCAAGACAACGGAAAGATGCCAATTGACTTCAATGACTTGTGGATTGGGCTCTTACACACTTGATAAGAAAACGTGGGAACTTCTGACCTCACTCTTTTAGAAAAGAGTCCTATTTATGTATTTAGATTTAAGCAAACGTAAGATGACTCCCCCCACTTTCCATCAGTTAAAAATGCAATGCATAACAATCAACCCATCTCTACTGAATCAAGAAAATATTGCCAATCTCCCCATTTCTCAAATTCTCAAAGAATCCCACACCCCACCACTCCTGAAGTGCCCATTCAAAAATATGGGCTTTACTGCATGCCTCAAGGTCAACCAACCGAGGCTATTTCAGTCCAAGGGAGGATTATCATATCCTTCTAGTTCAGCTGCTACAGTCGTAAGAAGGAACAGGGGAGAGGAGGAATATTTCCAGTGAGGTGGGCTCCTCTGAGGGAGCTGCAGAAGCATCTCCAAAATTGATGATGGGGACAGAGGGATCTATACCAAAGGGGCTGTGAAACCTGTAACTCCGCCGGGGTGGGGATCTCGGACCTGCAATGGGGATGGACAAAGAGACAGCTGATGCCTGGAGCTCAGGAGCCAGGCTGGCAGAGCTGTACTTCTCACAGAGCTCTCTCCTGGAGCTGACGTCAACGGCATTACACCAGAGGTGAATAGGTCTCCTTTTCTGTTTTCACCCTAGGTATTCACTGCAGTGCAAATTGATTTCTGACACAAGCAGCATACAAGTAGAGAACATAACCCTTTCTGTCTTGTTCTTTCTGGAGACCTGGATACATAAAATCCTGCAAAGCTAATATCAGCAGTGTTATTGCCAAGCTCTGAAACTATGAATAGCATCTCTCTACTGGTCTGCTGTATAGTGTTTGCTGACAAGAATTTCCTGTAGGGGAATTTACAGCTGGACCCAGGGGAGACTTGAAGGCGAGCAAGCATGTACAGAGCCCATCAAGAAACCATGATCCATGCTGCACTGCTGCCATGGGAATAGTTATCCTCCACTTCGCATTTCCCTTTCTTACCTATTGTATTTGTAGTGAAGGAAGAAAACCAAATTTCCTTTTGTTTAGCAGCGGGTTGCTTTGCTCCCCCACACATGCAAACACAGAAGATTGTTTAGCTAAAAGCAAACATGCATTTTTCCTCCTGCAGTGCAACATCAGCCAGATATCTCACTCCCAGCAGGGATATACTGCACAGCGCTCTCTTCAGTACTGACAGTGGTCAGTACAGATTTTTCAAAGGAAGGCACAAGACAATTATGGAGCAAGCTTAATTCAACTCCCATCAACATTTGGTTGGTCTACAGTGAGAGCATGCAGAATTCTCCCTCTTACTATCTAATGTGTCTGCAGATGTCTCAGTATCCATATAAATCCTTTTTTTGAACTCTACTTATAGGGCTCCTTATAATCCATTTTGGAAACCTACTAGGCTCTTGGCCTCAAGTTATTTGGTGGCAGTGAGTTCCACAGATTAATTAGGCACTGTGTAAAAAAGCGGATTGTCGGTTTTAAGTTTGTTGCCTTTCAATGTCACTGAATGTCTCTTTGTCCTTGCACTGTGAGACAGAGGCATTCACAATGCCTGCCTTATACCTCTATTATTCATTTCCTCTCCAAACTATTTTTATTTAACTCCTTAACCAAGCATTCGGTTACTTTTCCAGAACTTCCTTTGGACTTGAAAGCACCATGGAAGCAGCATACTTAATACCAAGAGAGAGCAAGCACTTTATGCTGGTACATCTAGCTATATCTCTGAAAGATTCGTAGCCCCCTCCAGAAAGAGACATATCCAGGCTTCAGAGACTAGAACTAAGGCACAAAAGGACTAAAATGACATTGAGATTTATGTGCGATCTCCACTAAAATACATATTCTAATGTAATCAATTAGCAACCACAAGGTCAGATGAACCAAAACAGTGAGGCAAACAAACATGTTAGAGAGTCACCGTTCTAATTCTACATATGAAGAACAAACCAGTAAAAATATTCTCACCTTGGCCATGCCTATAGAGCTTGCATTCAGTTCAGGGATGCCCTGATTGGTTTTATCACCACGTTCCCATATTCCATAGTCCTGAAACAAAAAGAAGGAAAAACAGCCGAGTTTAAAAAAACACAACCCAAAAACACCATTGGAAGGACCTATCTATTGATGGAGTTAGGATCTGATCCTGCAAAGGCTTACTCATGCTTAACTTTGAATTCAATGGGACCTCTTACATGCTTCAAGTAAATCTCATGCAAGTAAATCTCAGCAGGATTGGGGCCTTAGTCATGTACTAGTTTCCTGATAGAGGAGGAAAGTCAAAGCAAAGAAGGCAACTCCCACCCCATATACCTTCTCCCAATCCCTTCATATCACTACTCCCTCCTTAAAAACAACTTGGCAATTTTTTTTTTCCCCACAAAGAATGATATTTTTTAAAATGACAAAATTGGGACAATAAGTACCAAGAAACAAAACCAAATCTTACTTCAAATTTCGATATGATACAGAAATCTCTACTTTCAGAGAACAGTGGCCATGGACCCCCATTGGTTTCAGTGGTGCTACACACAAAGAAAAGGGCTATTCCAGAGTGGCAAATCAGACCCATTAGGCATTCAAGAGTGTATGGGAGAGCACAGTTTGGCCCATTAACTTGCACTTCCTTCAAGGTCAGTCTGGGTACCTTTGTTCTTGTATATTTCTCTTTTAAACAATATGATAGGTTAAATAGTTTATCAAAGCAAATTTGGATATCATCTCAGACAGCTGCAATTCTTTCTAATGAGGTAATTTCACTCATGTGCACTGAGTGAGATCCAGACTTCAGAGCCTTTCTTAACTCAAGCAAGTTCAGGCTATATATGTGGTAAATGAACCTTTTAAATGACTGAACTTGGGTTGAAGAAGTTCTTCTGAAAGAACCTATCCTTAAACTTTAATCATTTCAGGTCCCCACTTTGGCTTGTTTTCCTGCTTATTCAGAGCAGCAAGTTCCAAGCAATGGGAATGCTGTTTGAATTACTGTATAAATCAGCTATGAAATCTTATAATCAGATTTGCTGCTTCAGCCCCACCCTTCAGTCAGAATATATTCCTTCCCAGCAGAGAAATAAGAAATTCTGTTCAGTCAGTTCCTAGGAAGTACTCAAATTGTTTATATATAAACTAAATACTTACAGCGACTTTATAGGCAGCTTCTATGTAAAAAACAAGATTCTGTATAAAGGCAACTTCATCAAGGGTGAATACAATATGCAATCCTGATTAAAAAGAGAACAAAAAAATTACATTCCTACACAAAAATTGAAATGTTTGACAGAAAATGAGTTCCAAATTTTCATTTTATTCACTAGCAACCAATGCCTGCTGAAATCAGTGGAAAGATCCCTATAATAGCTGCAGTTGAGATAGCACTTCAAAGGCCACTAATACATATTCTTTGTTTCGAAGACTCATCAAAATATAAAACTCTCAGGGCCACATTCACACACCAGGTGAGTGCCGGAAGGTTTGACACCCACTTTTGCCGGGGAAGACAGTTGCAAGGGGCCCTGAGGATAGAAGGTACCAGAGGACCACGTGGTGGGTGGCATCTGTAAAGCACTCAAACAACATGATGCCAGTGAGCAGGGAACCATGGTCAGGACAGCTGGCATTCAGAGAGTTACTAAATGAACATGATTAGGCTACCAACAACTGATCCAAAATGGAGCCCACCCTAAGCTCTCGGCAGGGCAGCAGTGGAACTACCATCTACCCTTCACAGGCACAACGGACTTATATGATCTAGGATACGCTATGTGCTTTGCACCTCCATGAGCAGCTTTACTGAAACTGCCCTTCAAGTGATTGTTTTCTTAATAAACCCGAGTCTCAACTGATCCAGATCTCTTTTCACAGAGACGTTACATCCCTGTAAGTGCAAAGAACTTTTAAATGTAGTACTCCCTGCTCACATATTCTATCTACCATATTTTATTCCATCCCAGGAGTATGAGATATTTTCCTGCCAGTTATCAAGGAGCCATATGTGTGGCACCAAAAGGAAATAGATATTCTGTTACAGCTCACTGTATCAGCCCCCTCTTCACCTTTACAATATCACGCATGCGGGGGGGGGGGGAGTGGATTTAGAGGGAAGGCAGCCATAGGAGGCAAGTTTTCATTTTTGAAGCAACTCCATACAGAGTGATAGCTCATCTGCTTTCCTACCGGCATGTACCTTCAGGACTCAGACTGGCTTGGACATTTCAGGCTGGGAATCCTACTCTCAATAACCAGACTTGAGGCTCACTGTTGATTGCTGTAAATCACGGCCTTATTTTTTCTGGCATTTTGCCATGGGGCATTTAAATATTTAATTAGGAACAATGTTTAAGCAATAACTGCTTTCATTGCACAGCTAGATAAATGATACAACTGCCATCTCATTTATGGAAGATACTCCTCTGCAAATCCTCTCTGGTAATGCACTTAAAGGAAAGTGCTGATATTTGTGAGTGCCCCCATGAAGAAAAAGGCGACATGAGGTTCACAAGCAAAAGTAGAGCCAGGGAAACCCATTCAAACCATTATGTAGAGTATTAAGCACAAAACCCAAGAGGCAGCCCAGATTTCTCTTTATACTTTAAAGATCTTGTGATAATAAAACAGAGACAGTGCTCCCATTGTACATAGAGAAGTGGAGAAAACCCTCTGGTCAATCAGTAGCAATGCTAACATACACCCATAGGTAGTCACATCCTGTCCTCTTGTATTTGAAAGAGGGGGCAATCAGAACATAGTTATGGAGTTCTGATAACAAAGGGATGCTTCTTCCAAGTATATGTTTTGGTGATTTTTTTAGTATACTCCATTTTGTAGAAGAAAGGCAGATTTTCATATTATTAAACTTTAATTACTTATTTGTGCTGTTCTGATGGAAGGTAGTTACAACATTTTAACTTAACAAAAAAATCTGCACCAATGATCACAGCTAAAACATCTTCTGCTTACCTGATGCAGTCATCTGTGCTAGGAAGAGCAGGTAAAGGGAAGTTGCATCTACTTGTAGATGTCCCCACTGGTCATCTCCTACTACTGTGGCACAAGTGGCTGAATTATATTTGGCATGCAAGCAGTCCTTGGTACTCTGTGTGTATTTGAACTTCTCTACTTTATCCATCTAAAAAGAACACCCAGGATTTTAAAGTAAAAAAACTTTGCAAGAGGCTTTTCAGTCAAGAACGGACATGCTCCAAGAATAGGAAATAATATGATTTTTGTTATCTTACTCTTATATGCTCCAATTCAGCAAAGCACTTAAGAATGTGCTTAAGTGCCTTGCTGAGTTGAGGCCTTAGTTACAGCTGTGCAATTTATTTAAATGATATAAATGCAATTTGTCATAGGTGTGACCAGTCATAAAAGTATAACAGAGCAGAGTTTTGCTCATAGCAATTGCACAGGTTCAAATACTTACACCCACATCTGTACACACACAAATCAATCAATTGAAGTCTCAGATAAAAGAAAAGAAATATCTGCTCTGAAATGAAATGCTTTGTAAATATAACAAGCACTTGTCCACAGATATGCATGGTATAAATGTATTTCCTCATATGCAATACACTTATATGAGCGGTGACTTAATTTTAATAAAGCATGTATTGCCATTTGTTTCAAATCTATGAGGCTAAGGAAAGTGTCAAAGGGATGCATTCTTTATCATAAAAAAAGGATTCCAGAGAACCACTGGTCTTGGAAATTTCAATCACTCCTTCAATCTGGGATACCATATCTCACAATTAATCTCTCCCTTTCATGCGCAAATTGATGTTAAAACACCAAATCTGACCTTGCAACTGAGTAAATACTCCTGGATTATTAGATTACCTGTCTCATCATACATTGCAAAAGTCCCCGCATCAGTTTCACAACATTCTGTAAGAATAAAACAGAATAATTAAAGTCTAAAGTCGCCAGTCCACTTACCAGTATTAGACAAGGCTCAGGGTCTCTACTACTGGCCTGCCATGAGTGTGAACATGAACATCCTGAAATACTTTTAAAGAAATATATTTACGTGTGTTTTCTTTTCTAGATTTTTGCCTTGAATGTGCTTTTTGGGGAAACTAATATGTGGTCACTTGAAAAAAATATGATATTCTCACCTCACTGTTAAATGTATAAGAGTGTATTTGGTGTTTAAACTTCATGAAAACTAATGGGATGTTACTTGCATTGTTTTCACTTACCTGTATCCCATTATAATGTAATAGCAAACATTAAGATTGTGTACACCCCTGCAACTAAATAACCCATCAAAGGAGAAAGATACCTTGTTGGATGCAAATGAAGAACTTAAACAGAAAAGTGCTAATTTAAAAGCAAATGGTCATTTTGTGTGATGATCGGAGGTCAAAGACTCAAAATGCATTCCTCTCTCTTCGTCATCAAAGGAAAAGCCCACATGGGTAGTGACACTGTAAGCTTGTTTTTTGTAAGAAAAAGCTAGAAGTATGGACTCAAGGAAAGATCCTGAATCTCTGGACTGTTTAGACTCTTACAGGGAAGCAGATGCAAAGCAGAGATCCCCAGAGACAATCTGGGTACCCTGAAACTGGCAGTTTATTACAAAATTGCGAAACTGGCAGTTTACTACATCACTGCCAACATTTGGAATTACAAACTGTGATTCACCAGTGCATATATTCAACCTGCTTTAACCTCTCAATAACTCATTTCCTTTTCTTAGTTAATAAACCTTTAGTTAGTTTATTATAGAACTGGCTGCCAGCATTTCTTTGGTGCAAGATCTAGAGTACCAATTGATCTGGGGTAAGTGACTAGTCTCTTGGGAAGCAACTTAAATGTGGTGTGATTTTTGGTGTAAGTATCCATTTGATCACAAAGTCCAGTTTGTCTGGGTGGCAAGATAGGCTGGAGAGTCTCAGGGAACTATCTGTGACTCCATGGTAAGACTGTTACAGTGATCCAGGAGTTCTCATTTGTCACTGGCTTGGTGAAATCTAATTACAGAATACAACACCAGTGTGACAGTAGGATTTTCCCCTAAATCCAGTAATTAAGCACATCTTTGTACCCGAAACAAGAATATTTTGAGAAGTTATGCAATGGCCTCAGAATACAAAGAGACAATACACATTACTGAGTCTGGACTATTTCTCCCAGAGTAGGTTTCCAAGGCAACCATGGGTTGGTGATTAAAGTCAAGCATTAAATTCATCAATTGCCTCCAAAATTGCAAGAGGACACTACAGAAATGCCCACTGGACAAACCCATCCTCCCAACTATATGGAGTGGGAGAATTGAACAGGGTCTCCAAGTGGGAAGAATCAACTTTATGGCTCTTCCCCTAACCTCATGCTGCTTCTCTCCCTCACTGTCCCTTCATAGCTAGTCCTGCTCTGTCAGCCCTCTGTAATCTCCATCCCTTTCTACCCCGCACCACCCCATTGCTCCTATTAAGTCACTCTTCTTGCCATCCCTTTACCTCAACCCTCCCCATATGAATAATAATAATAAAATCATTAATACTACAATTTTAAGACAATGGAACTAACAACACATGTGCCAATTATCACTCTCATGGCTTTTCTTGTACATTGTCTCCTCTGCCCCCATGGCCACCCTCATGTTTTGCCTTCTTAGACCCTGATCTTGCAAATGCTTAGGTGCGTTGATTCTGACTTTAATGGTTCTGCTTAGAGTTAACCATGTGGGTGTTTGGAGGATTGGGACCTTAGATTATAAATTGTTTAGAGAGAAAGGATGGTCCAGTGGCTAGGGTGCTAGCCTGGGAATTGGGAGACCAAGGTTCAATTTCCTGCTGCACCACAGACTTCCCATGAGACCCTTAGTCTCTCTGTGCCTTAGTTCCCCGCCTGTACAATGGGGATAACAACACTTCCCTATCTCACAGGGGTGTTGTGAGGACAAACACCTTAGACATTGTGAGCTGCTCAGATACTATTGTAACATGGGCTAGATAAGTACCCAAGAGAAACAGATGGAAAGTGCCAGCACCAGCCCAGACTCTATGTGTCTGGAAACCCTTGTATATCCTGGCCACAAGAGCATTATAAATACAGCATAAAAGAATAATCAGCATCACATGAAAGAAAAGCTGTGAGATGATAAACAATAAATTTACTACATGTGATATTTAGACATACCTGCTCAAGTTCATAGGCTTTTGCCTTATCCTCATCCCGGTCTGCATTCTTCCGATAAGCCATTCCCAGACCCCACACAGCCAGAATGCTGTAGACATTGTCCCGGACCCAAGCATCCTTTTCCTCCGTGCTGGCCGAAAGCAGTCCAGTAACTGGATTCTAACAGTAAAGAAAAGAAAACCAGAAGAGCACACACTATTCACCTGAAAAGTCATCTTATTTAACTGCAGCAGTACTTTCCATATAATTATAATAATTAATGGCAATATCTCATCTCCGAGAACTGGAAGGGACCTTCAAGGTCATCGAGTCAGCCCCCTGCCTTCACTAGCAGGACCAAGTACTGATTTTGCCCCAGATCCCTAAGTGGCCCCCTCAAGGATTGAACTCACAACCCTGGGTTTAGCAGGTCAATGCTCATACCACTGAGCTATCCCTCCCCCAAATGATGATGTAAGAAACACAGGGCCACACAAGACTTCATACTCTTACCTGCACTTAGACAATGGACACTCAAAAATTCACAGTGGCATACAACCTTGATCTACCCACCAGACTGCCAAAACTTGAGGTAAAGGAGAATCTCCTTTGACTGCTAGTAGCATAGAGGCTATGACATACAGCTGAGTGGTTCTCATCCCATCCAAGAGCATACGATTCACCTACTGACCTAGCAGTATTGAGAACAAATAAAAAGAGAAGGTCCCCAGCTCAAAGAACTTATCATGTATTTAGTGCCTGACCCTGTACCACTGATGTCTGTGGTGCAGAACCAAGCCCTAGTGAGAGCAACAAACAGGGGTTGAGGCTGGTGTGCAGAAGGACAAGGGTTACAAATAACAGAATCAGACACTGACTCATTATTGGCATATGCTGGTTCAGTTAAATGTTTATATAACCTTATTTTCTGGGAAGAGGTAGTTTTGCGGGGGAGGAAACATCACCTGTCTTCTCATAGGCTTTTTAGGAATTATTTGAATGAAGACACGGGTGGCAGCCAGGTAAACATTACTGGTATAATCAGTATTTTCATTTATTATTAGAATAAAGTTGTATTCAGTGGCCTAAATCAGGGATCAGTGCCACACAGCATACTCACATAGAATGTATTAACATCTACATTGTGGAGACGGTCTCTGTCTCAAAGAGTTTATAGTTCAAATAATAGAGATTGGATGAGTGCTGAATAATCTCTCTGATGCTATTTGGAATATTCCATTCATAAAGCTGTCACTTAAATGCCTAAACAGGGATTAACTGCTCAAAACATTTCCAAATTGGAAAAAAAACAAGAGCAGAACAGAAAAAAAATATGATTCAGCAGAAGCCACTTGCAGTCTAAGTTAATTAGAATAGGGAGAAGGGTGAGCCTCAAAGGCAAATCTCATATTTCTAGCTATTTTGCACAGTCTTTTTTTGTTCATCCCTCACTTGCAGTACAAAGAAAGTCTATGTAGCTGTAATTCTAGCACTGCAGAGATTGCACAGCAAGCCCCCTAGCAGCTACATTCTGGGCCTGGCACCAGTTGTGCAATGGAAAATTCTAAATGGCACTAAGATTGTTCCTCCAAAAATGTCAGTGTTCACACAAGACACTGGGAGACCCATCAACCACCAGGGACCTGCCTGCTTTCAAAGTTTTAAAAGGTGCCATGTTAAGAAAACATACAAGATCTAGATCAGTGCTTCTCAAAGTCGGGCCGCCGCTTGTTCAGGGAAAGCCCCTGGCGGTCCGGGCCGGTTTGTTTACCTGCCACGTCCGCAGGTTCGGCCGATCGCGGCTCCCACTGGCCGCAGTTCGCCGCTCCAGACCAATGGGAGCTGCGGGAAGCGGCACGGGCCGAGGGATGTGCTGGCCGCCCGTCCCGCAGCCCCCCTGAACAAGCGGCGGACCGGCTTTGAGAAGCACTGGTCTAGAGGCAATCCCTTCTCCCCCTCTACATTAGAATCAGAGGGACTTAACCTAGACACTCTGGACTTGATCAAAAAGTGAAGTCCACTCTGGACTTTAATGGACATTGGATCAGGCCTTTTGTGAAACATCATGAACAAAGGTAATTCTGTAGCATTATGGTACCATCAATTCACAGGAAGAAACATTAACTGACTAATATTTTTAAAAGTTTGCTTCATAAAATGCTTACTCTTAAAAATTAGGATTTTTTTTTCAGCTTCTCCCTGCTAGTATACAAAGAGTCCACCCCTGCAAGATACTGAGTGTGAACTATGAGGTACTGGGTATGCTCAACTCCCATGGATATCAAAAGAATGCCAGGGCACCGTGTAACACTAGGCCCACCATGTGATTATAAAATTTAATTTAGTTTGTAGGATGGGGGCCTCCCAATGAGATCTGCCTGAGCAAATCCATGTGCCAAGGTAACCCACTGAAGTCAATGGGGTTCTGCAAGGACAGAAGGCTCTGTTGCAGAGATCTGATTGCCAGACTGAGGCCTTAAATTGTTACTTAATTGTGTGTGCTGTGTCTCTTTCTATTTAATATATTTGCATTTCATTACATCTATTTGTCTGGAAACAAGAAACAAGAATCTACTAAAAAAAGATCAGATTCCGATCTCACTGTCACTGGTGTAAAAATGGAGTAATTTCATTTACTACACTGGAGCGACTACAGAATTAAATTGAGATAACTGAGATCAGAGTTGCACTCACAGCATATTTTAGTGAACACATTGGCTTATATAACCTCTGCTTTGATCTAGCAGAGCACTGATATTAAAGTCAGACCTTCACTAAACTCCAGCTGGGCTTGACTGTATGAAGTTGAATGTAATGTATTTTTGTGACCACTAAATGTCAGCTGATAAAAAAATAAGATAGTCAGAAGTGGTTTCTATTTTAGCTACATATTCTTTTCTCCTTAAGTACCCCATGTAATACTTTTTTAAAAAAGAAAAACTTAAAAATTTGTCCATAAAATGGATATTGACATTGGATAAAACACAAAAAATGCAAAAAAACCCAACCTAAATCGATGAGTGAAATAAAATAGTTGAGTCATTATTCTTCTGTACATTGGGCTATAGAGGGTATAAATAATATAGTGCAATAATCTTTAAATAAAAATTGTTATAGAAATAAAATAACTGTGTCAGAAGAATAATGATATTGCACATGGAGGAGACATATTGAACATTTTCCCCACTGGATTTTCCTCATCATTAACTAATATATGATCATAGCTACACCTTCTCCATCATATTAACTCAAATTAAGGACTTAAATCTAATCTATCCACCTGCATTTCTAAAGCACCTATCACAGAGATGTCTATACACTGCGAGGGTCATATATGTTAGTAGAAAATAGAATGTTCACTATGGCACCAGTCCTGCAAGGAGCTCTGACTTCAATGTGGCTCCATGCAGACACAGGGGGTCCCCCTGTGCACACCTCTGGGCAGGATGACAGCCTGCATTTGGAATGTAGGCCTGGCTCAGAACACATATTTTCTAAATTAATTTTGCTTTTAAAAGAGATCTGTCTTTGCGTAATATGAACGCAAATAAAAACAAAACTACTACTACTACTACTATTACTACGATACTTGTTTTTCAAAATGCCTAGCATGCTAAATGCTTAGCACTGGATTTTTATCCTAGAAACTAATTCCTGAACATCATGTTTCTCAAAGAAAGCACTGAATCCCCTTAGGTAAGTGAACAATACTTTCTTTTTAAATGTACTGCTGTTATGAAAAGTGTACTTTTCAAGCCTGTAAAGAAATAATGGCACCCATTTTACTGTTCACGTGCGTACAAGCACTGCTTTGATAACAATTTTCCCTCTGATCAGATGATCGGTGTCTAAAGGGAAATTGGCTTTTCTTTTTAAAGATCAAACTCTTCTCAATATTGACCGTTCCATAGAAAAGAAAGAGTTCTTCACTTATATTTTGCACAAAAAATGTAATGTGTGATTTGAAGATTATAGGTCAGCTGGTATAAATCGGAATAAAACCAATAATCTACCCCAGTATACACTAAATATATCATTCCTTTTTATTAGATTTCTGTTTTGCTTATAACAAATACTATCCAAACACAGTAATTCACAAATATACGAAATGGCAAAACTCCTATTGACTTCAGCGGGAGCAGGTTTGGGTCTGTAACACCCTCCTCCACTGCCTTGCAGCCTCTTTCAGTGCTTAGTAATAAGTATATTTGGAAACTGACTCATGGAAAAAATTCCTTGCTCTCATCTTTATATGCTGAACTATTTTAATTGAACCACACCATCTCAAGGACACTGTAACTTTTCTGCACCCTATGTCTGTTCTTAAGGATGAAAATGACGAGCTGAGCAAATGGAGAACACTATGGTAGGTGTTTATGCATGTCCATGAGCGAAAACATATCTAGTAGGTCACATTTTTTGCCTACCAGCCTTGACAGGGTCATTCTTTTACTATTTATGTATCCAAGCCACACAATAAGGGGTCAGAGTCTGATCTGAGTTACAGTACGATATAAATCTGAAGTCACTCCACTAAAGTTAACACAGTGATTGTAGATTTTCAGTGTAACTGAGAGGAGAATCAGTCCAGAGATTCTGGTATGAAGTGTATTGCAATAGACACGTACTAAACAAATTATGTTTGATGGCAACTGAACCAGCTCTATTTCGGATTCAGTCTTACTTTCAGATAAATGAAAAGTCACCATTATGCCTACGTTCACCAGTTTCAAAGATACTTGGGGAGATGAGAAGTCACCATTATGCCTACGTTCACCAGTTTCAAAAGATACACAACGATGCAAGCTCACATATCTGAGAGTGAAGGCAAGCCATTGAACATAAATGTTATTTTAACGTCATTGTTGGTGGTTAAGAACTCACTGGGTTTCCACATACAATGGACATGCTTTTTCACGTCTTGTATAATCAGCTACTAAGTATCCTTGTCGAGTTACAGTGACTAATTTTACTTGATGCCCACTCAAAACGAAAAGAAGCCACCATTTACTTTAGAGAGACAATATTTTTCTATGGTTATGAATGCTGCATGTCCAATATCCACATTATAGAATGAATACAGTACAGGATATTTATCTGTAGCACTGCCTCAGTGCACCTCTCTCTATTCTCTTCCTAAACTAATACTCCACTTACTTTGTACAATAAACTCCACCTCATACCATACCACATTATAAGAAATACTTCATAGCATAACTCTCCACAAACACTATATTTCCTAGAATAACAGATTGTACAAACATACTCTGCTCCCTATTGCAACATGCTGAACCAACATACTCCACTCCATACAATAATGAGCTCCACACACATACTCCAAAAGCATGGGCTGCTCTTGGATCTGCCCCAAACCTGTACGGTCATGTCCGCTAAGCAATTAACCAGTCCGCTGAATTCATATCAGGAATCCCACAGAGCCGACTGAAAAAATGAGTAAGATTAAAAAAAAACATTAATAAGAGAGAAAAAACTCCCTCAAAATAAAGGCCCAACAGGGTTGGTGAAGGAGTGTAAGGGTCCCACTCTTCTCTGCGCTGACTCTGCACTCACCTGGTGACATAAAATGGTCTGTTGAACCAGTCGGGCATAGCCATCCAAGCGGACTCCAGAGTTGCTTCTGCTTCTCATCTCCCCAAGACCTGGGATTTCTGTCTCTCTCTCTTTGTGTATGTGTGTCTCCCTCCCACACTTCAGAGCTGCAGGAGGAGAAAGCGCGGCTGGGATCCTCTCTCTGAAGCAGCTCTTATTCTTCCTGGTTCATTCATGCAGCAAGCTCTCCTGTGACACTTGCTAGCAACTGATGCCCTTGTTCCAAAATAAACAGAGCAGCTGTCAACAAAGCAGGGATTATAGAGAGGGTTTACCCCTTCATCTACATGCAAACCCTGGCCAGACTAACCTGGCCAGTAATCAATGTGCATACTGCACCATGGACATTATCTACATGCTTCTCACATAATCAGATGCCACAAATGATTGGTTTATTTTCTCAATGCTATGTTCATACCACTATGAAAGGGGGGAAAAAATTCAGGCCAAGAACAGAGTGCACTATTTTAACACCTAACACACATATATTACATATTGCAATATATTACTTCTGTCATATATAATCCTAATTATCACAAGTCTACATGCTATCATTATGATCCATAAGCAAGCAATATTACTCCAATGTATAAGGAATATATATGACAGAAGTAATATATTTTATATCATTTTATAACACCTAAAATGCATGGGCTAGTTACTGCACCATATGAACTGTGTTTATATGGATACAATCATCCTTTGTATGCAATAACTGTAAGCAATTGTTTATAGTTTCTGTGCTGTAACCCTACCCATGGATAGGGATTCAGTCCAGCGGGTAATACAGCTCTTTAGTTCAATATCTAAGAAACATACAGGGACACAATGAACTGTAAAAACAACGAGGAGTCCTTGTGGCACCTTAGAGACTAACAAATTTATTTGGGCATAAGCTTTCGTGGGCTAGAGCCCACGTCATCGGATGCATGGAGTGAAAAATACAGTAAGCAGTATATATATTTTACAGCACATGAAAAGATGGGAGTTGCCTTACCAAGTGGGAGGTCAGTGCTAATGAGGCCAATTCAATTAAGGTGGAAGTGGCCTATTCTCAACCATTGACAAGAAGATGTGAGTATCAGCAGAGGAAAAATTACTTTTTGTAGTGACCCATCCACTCCCAGTCTTTATTCAGGCCTAATTTGATATTCACCCCTTCTTGTCAACGGTTGAGAATAGGCCACTTCCATCCTAATTGAATTGGCCTCGTTAGCATTGACCCCTCCCCCCCCACTTGGTAAGGTAACTCCCATCTTTTCATGTGCTGTAAAATACACATACTGCTTACTGTATTTTTCACTCCATGCATCTGATGAAGTGGGTTTTAGCCCACAAAAGCTTATGCCCAAATAAATTTGTTAGTCTCTAAGGTGCCACAAGGACTCCTCATTGTTTTTGATGATACAGACTAACACGGCTACCACTCTGAAACCTGTCACAAAGAATTGTGTTCAGTACTTAACAGGTCTAAGGCCAGTACCGGGTTTACCATGGTGCCGGGCCCAGAGTTAGAAGAGGCCCCGGCCAGCCTGATCACCCAGATGACTGAGCCAGCCAGGAAAGCTGCCCCTACCCCTGCTCCGCCCCCACCCCGCCTCTTCCCACCCCTGCTCCACCCCTGCTCCGCCCGAGCCCCACCCCCACCCCGCCCCTTCCCCCCCAAGTCCCCTCTCCTGAGTTACAAATCCCGGGGGACTGCAGCAGGGGTCAGGCCCGCCCTGCTCTCACTGGGCAGTGGGAAGTGAAGTGACCCGGCCCCAGCCCGCTACGCTCTGCCAGCCTCCAGCCGCGCGGTCGGTGAGTGCAGAGGGGTGGTTCCAGGAGCCAGGGGAGCAGAGCAGAGCGGGCTGGGGCCGGGTAACTCCGCTTCCCACTGCCCTGTGAGTGCAGGGTCGGGCCTGCCCTGCAATCACTGGGTGGCAGGAAGTGGAGCGATCCGGCCCCAACCCGCTCTGCTCTGCCAGCTCGTGCTGGGGGGCAGTTCCCCTCCCAAGCCTGGGGAGGAGATGGTGCGGTGGGGAAGGGGCATGGGATGGGGAAGAGAAGGGGGCACAGGAAGTGGGGGCAGGGGGAAAGAGGCAGTGGGGAAGGAAGGGGGTGGGATGAGGAGGAGATGGAGCTGTGGGGAAGGGGCATGGGATGGGGAAGAGAAGGGGATGGGGGAAGCAGGGGCAGGAAGGGGGTGGGATGAGGAGGAGATGGAGCTGTGGGGAAGGGGCATGGGATGGGGAAGAGAAGAGGATGGGGGAAGCAGGGGCAGTAAGGGGGTGGGATGAGGAGGAGATGGAGCGGTGGGGAAGGGGCATGGGATGGGAAGAGAAGGAAATGGGGGCAGAAGGAAAGCTGTAGTCCAGCATGCGGCATCCCCTTGGCAGAAGCTGGGGCTCCCCTGTTAAGCAGGCCCATTGAACCCTCACCCTGACAAGCCCCACCTCCCCTGCATCTGTACCACCCTGATGAGCCCCCCCAGACACCCTCTCCACTGAGCCCCACCCACCTGGACCCCCACCCAAATGAACACCAACTCCCCTGCACCTAGACCCCCTTGCTGAGCCCCAAACACCTTCACCTGGATCCCCTGCAGAGTCCCATTGCCCCTGCACCTGGAACCCCCCAATGAGCTTCTGTGCATCCAGATCTCCCACTGAGCCGCCCGCACCCAGATTGCCCCACAGAGAACTCTCTTACCCCCAACTGGATCCTCCCACACTAAGTCCCTCTGCACTTAGATCCTGCTGCCGGGCTGAGCCTGCTCACCCACACCTGGTGTGCCTGGCACAGGGGGGCAGGGCCCCAGGGTGTTTCTGGGGAAGGCCTGGCCCTTGCACTGTGTCAGGGTCGGGTGCAGCCTCACTGCCAAGTCCCTGTCCCAGGGTGGAGGGAGGCTGCAGGGTCATCTCCCACCTCCATGCAACCAGTGGCGTGTGCACCCCACTGCCATGTTGGAGCCTCCACATTTATTTATTGACAAATAAAATTTGCAGAATTTTTAATTTTTTGGTGCAGAATCCCCTCAGGACTATGGGGTGCTGTGCAGCTGTGATGGTGGGACTGTGGGGAAGATGGTGGGCAGTGGGGAGGTCTATGGGCGGGGGGTGCTGGGCGAGCGGTGTGGTGTGCAGGGTGCTGTGCAGTTGTGGTGGGGGTGGGGGCTGGGCATAGAGATCTGTGGTGGAGGTCTCTGGGCGAGGGGGCACTGGGCATAAGGGTGGGGCACAGGAGCAGTGTGGGCCTGCTCAAGGGGAAGGGACATGCTGGCACCACAGGGCTGGGCAGGCCAGTGTGCATCTGGCAGCTGCAGGTTTGTAAACAGTGCCCTCCTGCTGGGCTGTGCAGAGCGGGGCTGCTCCCGCCGTGCTGTGCCTCATTGCCCCCAGCCCGCCCTTCACTCTGGAGACTGACCATCCCGCCCCCCTGCACCTTGTCCCATGGGGGCCCACAAATATGTTTGGCGCTGGGCCCACAAAAAGTTAATCCGGCCCTGTCCAAGGCTGCCGCATTCCAGAGAGTGTGTGTCACAGCCAGCGATGCTGTGACTCGCCTCTTCGCCAGCTGATTAGAATTTCGCACACAACCGGGCTCTGGGGGTTGGGGTGGGGGGACCAATTTGATCTAATCTCAATATACGATTGGGTTAAGGGGACTGGCCGATGGCTGCTTTGCCTGTTTTCTTTACCATAGTTACTAACACCGGCCAACAATCGCCTTTCGTTGCCGAATCCCGAATCGCTCTGAATGTCTGGTAATGTCCCCGACCAGCGAAGCGCAGCCAGTTGTAGGTGTCACCCGCTCGGATAGATGTGCGCAGCTGAGCACTCTGCAGCCACTCACCTGCCGAAGGGCAACCGGGGCGCCCCATCCTCTGCCTGCCCCGCTCCGGACTGCTGCCGTGGGAGGAGGAACGTCTTTCCCAGCAGCAACCCAATCCGTTGCCCAGGCTAGGGGCTGCGGGGGCGAGGAAGGCAAAGCAGCCCCCCGGGGCTGGGACCATTCATTCCCCCTGCGGGCAGGCCCTGGGCCGCTCGCACCGAGCTCCGCGCCCGAGCCCCGGCAGGCGGCTGAGTGACAGGTGCCGCGGGGCTGCGGCAGCGGGGACCGGGCTGCTGCAGCCGGGGGAGGGGAAACCTGGGTTCTACCCGCCCCGCCCCGCCCTCCCGCGGCAGCTCGCTCGCGCACAGGCCATGCAAGGACAATAGAGCGGCTGGCGTCCAAATAGAACCACCGCTTGTTCTTGAGAAACGAGAAAAAAACCCACCTCACCGCTGATATCCTTGGTGCTTCTAATAGGCTTGAGTTAGGAGGGACTTTCTCTTGGGTGTATTTTTAAAGCCCTTTGGCATCAATAACGGCTTTACGCTGCTGTTAGGACCCGGGCAGCGGCAGCCTAGTTCTCAGCGAGAGCAGAGCGCGGACTGAGCCCGGCGCTGCGGGAGCATCCCGGGGAGCCGCCTTGTTGTGCCGGACCCTCTGCCCGGGCGGGGCGGCCGCGCTGCTGCGGGAAATCTCCCAGCTCCTCGCCGGAGCGCCCCCGCTCGTCCTTCTCTAGCAGCCCTGGCGTCTCATGCACCGCTAGGCAGAGACTGCGCCGGAGTCCGATCTCCCACCTGGGTACCAGCGCGGCTAGTTGCCAGCTCTTGAGATATTTGGTGTGTTTGTTTTCTGAAAGCCCCAACTCCTGGAGTCATGTTATTAAGAAAGAATCTGGCATTTCATTTGAAAAAGGTCCTCATGGCAGCTGAGAAAAGTTGGATACTGGGAACCCTGAAGGATCAAAAAAACAGGGGTAACTAAAGAGACACAAGCATTTATTGGTATGTTGTTGTTTTTTTAAGTCTCAGGCTTTTGCATCCAGTTACCTGATTTTTGGGATTGCCTGACTCATGATTTTTGAACACGGAGGGGTGGCAATAGTGAATTTAGTGATATGGAGGGGGGTGGCTCTCTCTAAAGAGATTCCTGGAAGAGTTTAAGAGCCTGCATTTGCAACCCTTACAAACATGCTTAACTTTACTACCATGAGCAGTCCGTGTGTCTGAAGTCAAAGGGAGTACTTATGCTAGTAAGGCTA